CCAGGTCAGTCTCAACCACATAGTGTGGAAGGAGGAAGGAAGATCGCTGTGAGTTCAAGACCAGCCTGGGCTACATAATGAGTTCCAGGTCAGTCTCAACCACATAGTGAGATCCTGTTTCAAAAAACAAAACAAAACAAAAAAAGACATTTAAGAGTCGAGGGGCCAGGGATTTAGCTCAGTGGTGTTGCCACCTGCCTCGCAAGCACAAGGTCCTGAGTTCAATCCCTGGTAAGAGCTCAGCAGTAGGAAATGTGCCTAGAATATACAACTCTCTGAGTTCAATCCCCAGTACCACCAAAAAAAACTGAAAAAGTAATCATCAAAGAAAATACCATATTGTACAAGGGCATGAGTCAAGATCTCTTCTGATTGCACACGACAAACACCCAAGTCCAGCTGACTAAGAGGAAAGGGTAGTGCGTTTGGCTCGCACAGTCACAGTCAAGCTGCGTAAAGTTCATGGGTGAAACTCATCTAAAGAATCAGAGACTGACGACACCTTCAGATCCCTCTATGTCCATCTCTCCACCTCTCTAAATGTAGCCTTCTCTCAGTGGAGTTTAACTGCAGTTAGCATGGCTGGCTTATCGTTACAAGAAAGGGAAGGGGGTCCATCCCCTAGGTCATCAAGTCATTGATGGGAGGGGCAAGGACTTATGGGGTACGACCAGGAACCAAGGTAAGGAAGGAAAGCTCCTCACTCCACCAGGCCTTCTCAGAGCAGGGGCTACACCAGCTGCCTGCCTGCACTCCCAGGGGCCATTCAACCAGCAGGGAAAATAAACACAACTAGAATTTACGTTTACAGTTTAAACTTAAGAAACTATAGGGCCGGGGATTTAGCTCAGTGGCTCTGCCACCTGATTCACAAGCACAAGGTCCTGAATTCGATCCCTGGTACCAAAAAAATAAATAAATAAAAATAAATACCCACATAACATGTTTCAGTCCACCACAGAACATATACACAAGGGTGACCTCATAAAAGTATAATGGCGCTGAAAATTTCCCATCAGCCAGTGCCGTCAGAGCACTGTTGTCATGGCGCAACGCATTCCTCCTGTGTTTGTGGCTGGCTGTAAGCAAGCCCACTGCCCTGGCAATGTTTGCTACATTCTGTTTCTCTGCCGATCCCTGACTGATAAGCTGGGGAAGTTATTTACAAATCATAAAGCCAGTAAAGGAACTGTATCTTTTCTTTTCTTTTTTTTTTTTTTTTGGTACGGGGGATTGAACTTGGGTCCTTGCACTTGCAGGATAGGCCACCGAGCCACTGAGCTAAATCCCCAGCCCAAGGAACTGTATCTAAAATATACCCCAAAACTCTTACAACTCATCCACAAAAAAGACAAACAATTCCATTAAAAAAGTTCACAAATTTTGAACACACACTTCGCCAAAGAATATACATACATGTCTAATAAGCACATTAAAATGACTTAACAATATTAACGCTGCTCACTGTACATCACCCATAACTCCAACAGAGCTATACATCTGAAAAATAACTGGCTACTTTCGAAAACTGCTAGAGCGTTGACTCATTATTATAAATATCGGTTGAAAAAAGAATGACACAATTATCCAATCTTTTCCATGTGAATTGTGCCGCTGGAAAACTAAATAAATGGTGGGGGAAAAGGGGGTTTTTTTAGACCATAGTCATAAATGAAGAAGGAATAATAGAATTAGGAAACTAACATTGTGTAATCCTCAATAAAAATAAGAGATCTAGCTGGATATAGAGGTACACGCCTGTGATAGCAGCACTCACAAGGTTGAGGGAGGAAGATTGCTGTGAATTAGAGGCCAGCCTGAACTACATAGCAAGACCCTGTCTCAAAAAACTAACTAAATAATAAATAAAAATAAAGTGGGTGTGGCAGTGCACACCTGTAAGGATTGCTACAAATTCAAGACTAGCGGGGACTACATACATAGTAAGACCTTGTCTCCAAATGACAACAACAATAATAATAATATTTTAAAAATAAATCTAGACGCAGATCATAAATGGCTGCTAAAATCATTTGGCTAACGGCTGATGAGGAAATCACAAATGGACAGATTAGGCTGACCAAATCCAGTACAACCAACCATTAGATGAACGACAACAAGACATCATGTAGTTTCTGCTGCGCTGCAACAGTGCATGGTACCGCCTGAAATTTATATTTTGCAAATGCATAAACCTAAATATCGTGTAGATCTAATTGCCACAGGGGATTGATGGACATATTAAAAGATGCCAAATTCTGCAGGAAATTCTATAGGCCAAGCAAAAAAAAAAAGACCTAAAAGGAAGTGAGGAGAGAAGGAATTAGTACAGATCAATACACTGGTCAAACTCAAAGGGTGGAGCTGGTGGTGGTGAGATCCTGTCTCAGAAAACAAAAAGAAAAGGCAAAGGGTGGACCTCGTTTGGATTTTGATTTAAACAAAAGCCACTTGTGGGGAATTGTTGCTCTAGTTAGATGCAGTAATGATACTGTGGTTATGCTTTTTTAAGTGGTTACTTAAGGCATATATCGCAGTATTTGTAAGATAAGTTTTGGGGGAAGGGTTGAGACAGTCTCAATAGGCAGTTCAGGCTGTCCTTGAACTCTATTTGTAGCCCAGGCTGCCCTCAAACTCTTGGTGATGCTCCTGACTCAGCCTCCTGAGAGCTGGGGTTACAGGCTTGTACCACTATGCCTAGCGTGCAGGATAATTTAAACTATCTCGGATTTCCCTGAGAATACTCCAGGGGTAGGGAGAGGAATTCCGTGGGAAGCAGATAGATAAAACAATTCTTTAAAAGGAGATGGATACATTGGGGTTAACTATGCTGTTTCTCTACCACGTGTATATGTTTGAAATTTTCTAGAATAGAGAACTGGGCTTTGGTTTTGCTCTGTTGAATTTTAAACCACTGGTTCCTACAGACCTCAGCCCTTTGGCTGTGTGCTGACCTCCTGAGAGTTCCGTAGGAATGTTCCCGCCCTCTATCTGCACACTTCCTGACCAGAGGGTACAGACGAGGAAATGAGCAGCGTGAGTCAGGGGCAGCAGCCCCACGGCTTGTGTCGGAGAGTAATGGTCAGTGACGGGCACCACGGTACCCAAAGACCACAGAGACATGCAGAAGGGGAAGCCAGTTTTGCCGTGGAGGAAACAGGGCCCCAGATGGGCAGTCTTCTGATTTTTTGTTAGAAACTGGAAATCTAGGCATTTCTATGAAATCTCCCACTATGTAGAGACATGGTTTTTTGGGGTTTTTTAACGTAAACACCTGCGAGTCAGCGCTGGAAAGCCAAACAAAACCTGCCTGCAGGCTAGGTCTGTTCCACAGACTGCTATTTTGCGATCCCTGACACCACACCGTGTAATGCATTAGCCAGCAGTGCGTTAATAATTGGTTGACATTTTCAGCAGGTGGGTCACACTGCTGGAACCACTAAGGCTGCACGCATCTCAAACTCCCAGATCTTTTACACGCAAACAACTGCTGCGCCTGGCACAGCCACACTTGGAATAAAACAGACTCGCGACTATCTCTGTTAAATCGCATCTTGTTCGTCAGAAACATTTGTCTGCGGATGGGCTTCGCTTCTCCTCCAGGTTCCGCTCCGTGTCACCGGTGGTTCTGATGAGCCATCTGCAAAGGTGACGTCAGCCTGGAGCTCCAAAGGATTCTCTCCCACTGAGGGATACACCTTTGACCTTCCTTCCAGTTTGTTCACCTCACACTTGGCCATCTTCCTCCTGAAAGCCACCCTACATTATACCAGTCTGGGGGCAATAATGTCATCATGCTTTCTGATCTACAAACATTTTCTCCATAATTTTGAGTTGGTTTTTATTAGCCACCACCACCCTAAAAAAATTCCTATCGTCACTTTAAGATGTTGGGCTACAAATCTGCTTATACCGTAGGCTATTTGTTGGCCACCGATAACTTCCTCGTTTGGATTTCTAAACAACTGGTTTAGCTTCCTTTCCTCGAACCCATCCCGAGCTTTTACCAGGGGAAAAAAAAAAAAAAAAAAATAAAAAAAAAAAAAAAAAAGTCCCCAAGCCACTCTCATTCCAGCCATAACCAACGGAGACAGAAACGATATGGGAGAATGTTCTAACCACCAGAGTTGTCAAAAAAGAGAATGGATTGCCTTGAAAGGAAATGAAATTCTGAGGCTAGAAGCTTTCAAGTAAGAGCTAAGGGGTTGTACCAGTTGTTTTGCTGTGGCTGCAACTCTGGAGAGGATGATCTTTCACTCATTTATGTTTTTCCATGTAGGGAACCCCCGCTCTGTGTGTGCTCAGCTCTCAGAACACAACCAGCCCTTTAGTGATAAACTCCTGAGGTCAGAAACTTGTACTGGGAAAGTCTGATCACTTTCATGCTTTGTATATTCTAAGTTAATTCCATCTTGAAGTTTCCAGCTACTTTTCTTTCGAAACGCCAGCATTTTCTCCTATGTTAAACAATGCAAAAAGTTCATACAATGGATTATTATTCAGTTGTAAAAAGAAATAAGCTGGGCAGGATGGTGCGCACCTGTACTCCCAGCTACTTGGGAAGCTGAGGCAGGAGGATCCCTTGATCTCAGGACTCTGAAAATGTGGAATCCTAGCCAGCAGACCACCAGGGACTTTGAGGCCAGCCTCGGCAACATAGAGAGCAACGTGCTTTCACCACTCCCGCCGTACTTCCATCTCAAATTCTTGGGATTTGGAACAGATGTGCCGCTGCAGACTGCCCTTTTGCGAGTGCGCGTCCAGAAGGCCTCCTGCGCTCCCACTAAACTCGCTCCCGCTTTGTCCGCACCCCTGGGGGGCCGAGCGGCCCAGAGGAGTCTTGAGCTGGCTGCAAACGCAGCTGGCCGCGGGGACGACTCCTGAGCCCGGGCGGTGGGCGGCCCTCGGACAACCCTAGAAGCCCTCTCGGTTCCAGAGTGACAGGCGGGGGGCAGGCACCCTAGCAGCTTTTTCCAAACAGCAGAGCCGCCCCGGGAGGGCGCTGCCCCGGGCCTCCGACCCGGGTCGCGAGGGCGGTGTGGGACCAAGTTAAAGACGCGCCTAGGAGAAGCAAGAGGAAGCAGAAGGTGGACGTCTGGGTCTCAGCGCTGGAGGCGGCGCGGTGGCTACAAGTAGCTCAGGAAACTGTGGTAATGAGCGGCTTCCTGCAGTAGCTCCGGGTAAAGCAGTTAGGAGCCGGGAAAATCTGCTTCCTGCCGCTGCCGCGGGGATCAGGAGGCAAATTAGGAGGCGGGAACTGGGACTAAAAGATGGGATCCTTCCTTCGGGTATGGAGATAAAACGGGGCACTCGGACACCCAAAAGGGTCATGCTCCAGGTGAGGCTCGAACTCACAACCTCGGCATCGCTCTGCATGTACTGCTGTATAAGTACCGCGCGCTAACCGATTGCGCCACTGGAGCTCCGCTGTGCCGGCCGCGCAATGGCTCTATCAGGGCTCGCTAGCCCGCCGCGGAGCATGCGCAATCGCCCTGCCTCGGACTCGCTCCCTCTGCAACTCCGGCCGAGCTCTCGGGCGCGGTGCAGCACGCGGAGATTCCAAAGAGCCGGGAGCGTGCGAGTGTCCGGTTCGGGCCCGGAGGGCGGGTTAGCACGCGGCCTTTGGGGCCTCGAAAGTGC